AACCGATCGACATCTTTGGCCATTACCGACCTGATGGAGGACATTACAAGTGCTATGGATGAGAAGAAATACACGATGGGAATATTTATTGACCTAAAAAAAGCATTTGACACAATCAATCATGAATTATTAATGGAAAAGTTAGAAAAATATGGGATTTTGTATTTCCATAAGTGGGGTAAAACTATGGAATAATTTAAGTGTAGACATAAAAAATAGTAATAGAATTGACGAGTTTAAACATAAATATAAAGGTATGTGTCAATCAAGATATATGCAAGAAGAGGTTTAATGATTAATTAGATGGAACATTGTGGGTGTGGTGTATGAATGTTAACACTTTGTAATAATTCTTTTGTATATTACTTTGTGTGGGTAGAAGTGAATCATTTACTGCTTGCAAACCAATGATGGTAAGATGATGTCATGGGGTAGGACTGGATAAGTCTGACTTCTTCCTACTCCATTCAAGCATGTACTAGGTATAAGCACATTGATATTGGATTATGTGTAAAATTATGTGTGTTGTCATATCAACTGTCTTGACATGCTTGAAAGAATAAATCAAGGTGGGATTTAACTTGTAATTAAATTCTGATTGATAGAGAACATTGTGTTGTGCACACAGTGTTATCATTGCTGACTCATTTTCTTTGGCTTCAGAATTCGCCCAATGACCTGCAGCTGTTGTCCGATGCTCCAGCTCATCACCTCTTCTGCCTGCTGCCACCTGTCCCTCCTACACAGAACTCTCTGCCCGAGGTCCTTGCTGTGGTGCAGGTAAGACACTTGAGACCTCTTAACTTCTGTTTTTAATATCTGCCATGCATTTAAAAGCAAAAAGTTGGAGTACTTTTAAAAGGATTTATCTCTTTTCCACAAGTTGAGCCCTTTTTATGTATGACATCTTACAGTAAATGTTAACTTGCTCTCAAGCTTTATTTAAAGATGCATTAACTAACTTTTTCCACTAATTTTTGACCATTGAGGGCAAAGAGAGAGTCGAAACAAACTGGAGCTCCTCTTCTTCCTCCATTGCTCTTTGTCCCTCATGTCTCTGAAATTATGTCATATGTGGTCCAAATTTGTGCTAAATCCTAGTTAATGCAGCTTTAAATCACAAAGGTACATAAGCTCCAGTCTGGTTTCATTTGGACTCATACACACCTGTGTTTGGCCCCTCAGGTGTGTCTGGAGGGAGAAATATCCCGGCAGTCCATCCTAAACAGTCTGTCCAGAGGGAAGAAGGCTTCTGGGGATCTCATTCCCTGGACTGTCTCAGAACAGGTACACACTGGTCACAAACCTTCTGACTAAACTGTTGCAGCTCATGTTTCCACAGTGCAAACACAAAATCTCTGCTTTTGTTCTCCTCATAGTTCCAAGACCCAGAGTTTGGCAGCCTCTCTGGAGGCAGAGTGGTGCGAATAGCTGTCAATCCAGATTACCAAGGGGTAAGAAGATGCAAAAGCCTCTGTTCATTTGTCCAGTTTTAATTAGTGTTTCTGTATATAACTGGTTTTCAAATTGTCCAACAGATGGGTTATGGATCCAGAACTCTCCAGCTGCTGCAGATGTACTATGAGGGCAAGTTTCCCACCATGGATGAGAACACACACTCACACCACAATGAGATCACTTCCGTCAGCAGTGAGGTAATGTAGGCAAAGAAAAATACACTCAGACAGTTTCCTAGATGAAATGCGAAAATACAACAGAGCTGAGTAGAGGCAGATTAAACATCCATGACACAAACTGTTATCATCTAGGCTGTCAGTCTTCTGGAGGAGGTTATCACGCCACGGAAGGAGCTCCCACCTTTACTACTGAAGCTGAGTGAAAGGAGAGCAGAGAGACTGGACTATTTAGGAGTTTCCTATGGCCTTACTGCACAGCTGCTCAAGTAAGTGCCATTAAATATGGTGAGAGGAGGTGGGCCATAATATTCTTAAAGATGTCAAACATGTTTTGCAATCTGACAGGTTCTGGAAGAAAGCAGGTTATACTCCAGTCTACTTAAGACAAACCCCTGTAAGTATAAAAACTTCTTTTGTTTTTAATACTGTTTTACATGTTTCTGTAAACACTGCTATTGTCACAGTTGGTGTGTGTGGTTGTATCTAGAATGACCTGACAGGAGAACACTCGTGTGTGATGCTGAAGGAGCTGAATACAGATGAAACCCCAGAGCAGAGCCAGTGGCCGTCTGCCTTCTGGAAAGGTAAACGTTCCTGCACTGCATCAGGAGATCTAGTTCGTTTGACACGTAGTACGGTCTGACTAAATGGTTTTGGTTTTCTTCAGATTTCCGCCGGCGCTTCCTGTCCCTCCTCTCCTACCAGTTCAGTGGCTTCCACCCGAGCCTGGCGCTCAGCATCCTGCAGAATAAAAAGTCCAAAGAGGAGACTAGCAGTAAGACTCTATTAACCAGAACGATCACGTCCTGGTTTCCCTTGCTCTGATCTGACTTGTCTCTTGCCTCCACAGTTCTCAGCAGCTCTGAGCTGGCAGTTCATTTCAGCCCTTATGACCTCAAACGTCTGGAGCTGTATTCAAGAAGCATGGTGGACTACCACCTAATCATGGACCTGATCCCAGCTGTGGCACGCATGTTCTTCCTCAGGCAGCTCGGTGACATCTCTCTCTCAGCAGCACAGTGTGTATGTTTCCCCACTGGCATGGAATTCCAGTTGTCCTTTGGCCTTTATCAGTTAGCTTATAAATGTTGACTGGCGGCTGACTGTTCTCTAGGCGTTACTGTTGGGGATAGGAATGCAGCACAAGTCAGTGGAACAGCTGGAGAAGGAAATTGATCTCCCAAGTTCACAGCTCTTGGGCCTTTTCAACCGTCTCATCCGTAAATTTGTGCAAGTAAGCTGAGCAAATCATATTGAAATGTAGCATTAAGGTGTTGTAGCGTTGTAATAACATTAGTACCTTCTATTGTTCTTACCACGTACTAGGTCTTTACCAGCATCCAAGAAAAGGCAATTGAGGCCCAGATGGTAGCCAGTAAAGATGTGACCATGGAGCCAACTGTCAGGAGCCTTAGCGATGACCTGGTGGGTGTCCTCTCAGCATCCAACTGTACAGCAGACTAAGTATTCACACGCCTTCACTTTTTGGCTCACTATAGGTTAATGAGCACAAATGCAAATTATTTGTAATTATACCAACACCACAAGTGGGCAAAAAGCAAAGGGGTCTGAATACTTACTGAAACAATTAGCCTTTTAATTATTTGATCACTACTTTTGATAGTTAATTGTGAAGCACAATGCCTCTGAAAACTGGGAAGATATGCCAATATTCTTTGTTACATACAAGTTTAATGTATTTGAGTTTTGAACTATTGATTGATAAAATAAGGAACTTAAACATTTAGATTTTTAGGACACCATGATGGGCTTTTTTCTGACATTTTATGGACCACATTAAAAGAAACCGCTACAGCTTTTCACTTCAAGCTACTTGTTTAAGCTTCTCTCAAGCAATGAATCCGTTCTCTCTCTAACAGACCGAAGCTGCCAAGGAGTTTGAGGAGAAACACAAGCAGGATATAGAGAAAGTGAAGGACATGGACCTTGAAGAGTGAGTATGAGGTTGAGAGGGTATCCTTGGTCTTTGTCTGAACAATATTCACTCTAGCTGTAATGACTTGTGTCTATTTTCAGGTACAGGATCCGAGGAGATGATGAGGAGTGGGACCAGGTGCTGAGGAAAGCAGGGACCACGGCCATAGTCAGCATAAAGAGGTACGGTGACGTTCAAGTTCTTTGGGTATACTGGGCCTCATTCACTAATATGTGCATAGAAATTATCTTACCTTGCACACCAAATAAGTGCCCACGCAAAAGTACTGCGAAAGACACGTGCGCAATGACTAGTTTTGTTCTTACCGTTGTGCATTATGTTTGTAAATCAGAATCATTCTACAATGACAGGCGTGGGCCTGCAGTTCGCACTTAGCATCCTGCCATGTTTCTGGTGAAATTGTCATAAATGTATAAATTCAATTATATGTTTATTATTTAGATGTGTCTGTATATTTTTGTCCTTGATACATGAGGGTCAGAATATTAGGAACACCTCTGAATATAGTGTAGTCCAGTACAACACCACCTTTAACTATGACCTCAATAATAAACATATAATTGAATTTATACATTTATGATTTCACCAAAAACAAACATTTTGAGCTTCATAAACACAGAAGTGGTGCAGTGAATTGCAAACAGTTGTCTCTAAGAAAAGTGGCCAGTGAGTGTATACTTGTTAGTAAGAACTAGGAGACTGGGACGGTTGATATTTTAATTATAAACATGATAGAGGAGGATGAAAGGATATTAACTTCATGGTTATTTAATAGGCTACATTTGGCCAATGCATGAAGTCTTAAATGGTATTATTAGAGTTGTCCCAATCCAGTTTTCTTTGCCCCGATACTGATCGCTTTAAAATTAAAGTATCTGCTATTATCAAACCTAGTCTTTACTGTATTTTTCAGGAGCTTCTTGATCCAAACACTGGATTAGGTCCTGGTTTCAAAATAAAGTTTATCTTAAATTATGATATGAATAAGTGGGAGCTGGACAACATCCAGAGAACTACAGATACTAACTACTACTTCATATCCAGGTCTGAACACAGTTGAAGTTTCTGTAGGCTCCCCTTGTGCGTCTTATGTACACCAAGCACCACCTATGTGCGAGTAAACCTGCACCTGGTACAGCAACGAGCACAAGCCTCCAACAATGTGCACACAAGATATTATACCCTGCGCAGCGTGTAATATCTTGTGTGCACATTGCTGCACACACTGCGCTTTCAGTGTAGACAAGCTTTAGTCTGGTGCTGCTACAACAGCTGCCAGCTCTTGTTAATGCAGCATTATTAAATAGTCAAACAGGGAAATTGAAACTGGACTAGTTATGCAAACCAGTATTTGGATCAAGAAGTGCCTGAAAAATCCAGTGTGCCAAACTAATTTAAATAGGTCAGATAGTTGATGAACATCTACTGTAAGTAAAGATAAGTTCTGGATTAGAATCAGTTTTGGGGCCAAAAACACTGGATCGGGACATCTTAGTTAAAACGTGCATTTGTACGACACTGGCCTTAATTATTTGTTCATACACATGGTTTGTGGCTGTTCTAAACTTGTTTGCAGATTATGAACATTTAGGTAAGAAAATGCTGATAAATTCAGCAATTGTCCACAAATAGTTTGTACTCAGGGTTTAAGCACAGAATTGTGGTATGCACTGTTTGGGAATGAGGCCCATTGTGTGGTTGTTGTAGAAACATGTTCACAATGTTGTCTTACTCCCAACAGTGACAAGAAGAGGAAGTTGGATGGGGGAAACTTACTCGAAAGCACTGGGGGACCCCAGCATGGGAAACTGAAAAAGAAGGACATGCAACACAGCAAATTCAAGAAGACCAAGGACAAGCATGGCAAATTTGGAAAGAAGGCGTGACAGTAAACAAAGCAACATCACTCTGTTCTGTACTTTGGAGAAGTTTGGATATCTCAGATGAACTGCAAAAAAACTAAAGAGCATTCAACAAGACTGGATAGCCAGTGAGGTGTTTTTTTTTTTTTATTAGAATTTGTTGCTTAGATTTGTTCTGTGTGCAGCCCTGTACAGACACTGTATAGCAGCAGAAAATTAACACTTGTACTAAATAAATACAATTTACTTTCACTTTTTAAAGGTTATCTTTTTGTAATGTGATTTCTATGGTTACTTGGAAAAAAAACCTAAACCTGAGGTATATGATTGAGGTCACTGGAACACCTGATGCTGTAGATCAGTCCACTTCTGTTTGAGCTGTTTTTTCATGGTCTCCGGTGCGAAGATGCAGTCTATGGCCTGCTGGGAAAGCTTCCATACAGCTTCACGACTGAGCCCAAAAGTGGTAGCTGCCAGCTGATATTCCTGAGACAGGTCCGTACAGAAGACCCCTTTATCATCAGTCTGGAATGTAACAAAGAAAAAAAATCTGTCACCAAGAACTTTAATTTTCTCACCAACAAGAGTGATCTTAAATTCTACTTAAATGCTATTTTTTAAAGGGGTGCTGCAGTAGTTCTGCAAATCAAAGTTGGTTCACTTATCGAGGGGAGTAGAACTCACTTGTAAAACAAGTTAAAATGCAGTCAGACCAAAATGCAACTGTGATGCAGCCAAAAGCAGAAAATAGCATGGGTAGGGTTGCAAACAGAACCTGCAGAACCTAGCATAGTTAGTGGGCTAACAACAGTAGCAGTAAGACACTCCTGTAAAAGAGTGTTAATCTCAATGAGGGGAAAGGGGTTTTAAGGCTGAGGGTGTTTAACAAACAGGAAGGGTATAATGGCAGATGCTACTGAGCTGCATCATGGGGCCTAGTATCTTCCAACTTTAAACTAATTCTGTTAATCTGCCCAATTAGTAAATTGTTAACGTGTCCTAGACATTTAAAAGAAAATGTAACTGCCTGTACATAGAGAGGAAACTTACACAAATTACACTTGGGTGTCCCAGCTGGTACCAGTATTTGAAGTGATGTTTAGAGTAACATGGCACAGTTTGTCCCTTAATATTTGATGTCAGACATAACTCTGCAAAAACACAAAGTTGAGAAATTAAAACCCATGTCAACATATTGTACAAGCCAAAGAATATGAATCAGTCTTACCCAGTGGGATGTTGTTCTTTAGCACTTTGTCAACAAGGCTTTGAGATCCACCCACTTCTGGATGCAAGAAGGTGCCATGACCGATCCTGTCTGGAGGAAGATTCAACAGCAAATCTGACTCCTCCTGCTGGGCTGGTACCTGCAACAGTTTTTGTAGTAACATCATTGCACTAGTACATAATGCAGCTAAAGTCAAATAATAAAAAGGATGCTACAGTCATACTTCTGAGAGGTGCAGTGACAACTTCAGGCCACAGTTCTTGGCCTTATGTAGAGCTGGAAGTAGATCTTTAGCATGTCCCACCTTAGAATGAAAATTACATGTAAGTATAGACATAATAGAGCAACAGCCCTTTCCTCCATGGCAGAAAAATGTTTTTTGTCTGATTTTGATGTCTCATAGATAGCTTTGATATGATCTGTTGATTTAATACAGTGCAACCCCACAACATTGCACTAAGTGGTGTTTAATTTGTATCAGAACAAAAACTGAAAATTTGTTCATGTCCATTTCAATAACTCTGCAATTTATTTCAATAAGGTTTAACTACATAAAACAACAAGGTGCCAATTGCAAGAACTACAGAGAAGCAAACACAAGAGACCCTGTTGATTCCATCAAACTACTATGAATTTCTTCATAAGTGACCTGTTTAAAGAGGATCTGTTTGTACAGCAGTGTACTGCTGCCACTCTGAGGAAAAAGAAAAGTTTGCTCATAATGAGATACTTTTCACAAAACAATATTTTTCATGTTAAAACAAGATACTGTATTTTTTCATGATAACTTCAGTGAAATATAGTTTCACATTTATGGCTCAAAGAGCCATCTAATATTATAACACACACGCTAGGAAGGATCATATCACTTTTACTACCTAATGTGAGAAAATAGAGTATGTCCTTATAATGAGAAAACAAAGTATGTAGGTTGTAATAACATGAAAAGTATCATGTTTTACCATAAAAGTGTCTCATAAAATGAGAAATGTTTGTTTCAACTAGAAAAGAAGCCTATTTTTTCTCTTCAGGGTGGCAGCGATGTACTACTGTAGTTTTGATTTTAATGACACATTATGCTAAAAATTGTATTTTTCTTTTCACGAGTATTTTTTATTTGTTACTTCCCACCTCTACAAGCCCCAAACTGGTTAACTGACCTTTGGATCGCCACTCAGGTCGAGTCCCACTACCAAACCATCAGAGGACAGCAGGAACTCCTCAGCCAGCTTCACTGTCTCCATGGCAACTTCAGTCCCATTCCTGCGGTCAATCGCCACCAGAAACCTTCACAATAAATGGGCATGTTTAGTAAAACTAAAGTAAAACATTATGCAGTATTTTGGTTTTATCATTGCCTTGTTATGATAGTGGGAATGTCCACCAGAGCCGCACCTCGTACACCTGAAATACATTTCTATACATGTTGTACTTTACAATATAGGCTACGCCTACCTGACATCAATGTCCACTCCCTCATTTTTACACTGCTGGATAGCGTTGATCACAGTTTCAACATATCTCTTTTTTGTCAATCCTAGGAAAAGATGATTAATTCCTATAATTTCCCACAGGCCAAGGTGACATCTTCACATCTTGTTTTATCATCAAACAGTCCAAAACCCACATGCAGTATAAGAAGCTTAAAACAGGAAATATTTGGCATATTTGCTTAGATAATGACCATAATGATTACTCAAGAAGATTAACAGATTAAAATTAACCAATGTTTTCTGGTGATTGACTGATTAATCCATTAATTATCCATCTCAATTCTACTTTGGCAAAACAATCCTCATGATAAATTATACCATCAAAATATTAGATATTATGAACTTCTTCACCTGTGTTGATCCCCTCCCTTGGGGTACTCCTCAACTCTAAATATCTGACACCATCAGCCGCAAACTCCCTGATAACATCTGTAGCAACCTCGAAGAAGAAAAAAAAACATCTGTTGCTGGTATTCTGAACAAAATGTGAGAGACACAACAAACGTTGATGTGAACAGCTATTCCTCACCATCAGGATATCCTCCTCTGTGTCCACCAGCTGATGGATGACCTTGAAGACCTGAAAACACCTGCGGATATGCGCGTCATGTTGTTTTAATGCTGGCCCCCTTTAACAAAGACCCCCTCGCCATTGTCTGTGCGAATACAGCTTTCTTGCTATTGTGCACTCGGAAAAAACATCCACTACAAACACCATTAGGTTTATTAATATGAATGAATTACGGATTAGCTGCTAATCAACTACACCTGTACGATTTCAAACAGCGCCGCTAGCTCTCGTAGTAAACATTGGAATAATTATAGACGGAAAGTTATACACACTCATCCAGTGTCCTCCGCTGGCCTTTGCCGATAGCCGTCATGCTATGTTCAACGTTTAGGTGTGGTTTTCGACTGATGAGTTTCTCCATGGTCCGGACGCTGACAGAACCATTGAGATGAGCATGGAGCTCCTTGTGACAGTTAAAACGCTGACGTTAGCATGTAGGTTAGCTAACAAAAACGTTAAAAACATTTACTCAATATAACGCTGTTTTCTTTAAGTGAAACATTCGCATTATTTTTTTTTTTTGACATACCACTTTCGGCAGCTCCCGATAAAAGACATCAGCCTCATTATCCATCACAAAGTTAAAGATTGAGCTAACTATGGTACAAAGCCCCGAGTTTCTATGGTCTGTAACTGACAAACCGCCTGTTTTCAGTCTACATTTTCCTGTTGCACCATCAAGTGCAACAAAGAAATAAGTCCCTTGTTTGTAGAGTCATGGTTCCGCTATGTCAAAGCGCTGCTCTACAAGCTTGTAGTTTTGATATCTTTTCATTTATTAATTTTATGACCGGAACTGCCTTCTCACCTTAATAAGGAAGCCTTCAAAGTCGATCAAATGTCACATTCACTTAACGAGGTTTAGCCTCTTGCGCCCACGCCCACCCAATTTTAATTTTAATCAGTTTTCTAGTGCAACCACTAGATGGCACAGTTTCTTCCATTATACTGTATACTGCACTTGATCTCAGTCATTTTTTAACCGGTACCACTCTCTAATATGGCACCAATTATAAAGGCCTAATGAGTTGCACTGCTCTATTATCAGTTAGTAAATCATTTACTGATGTTTTAGATTATAGATTAATTACAACTTGTGAAAAATCTTCCTCCAGCATGCACATTTAAATTGTGTGACCACTCCACCTTCTGAATCAAAGTCTATTTATGTACAACTTAATAATATAGGTCAACTGTTCTGTGACGTGTAGGCTCTCTCTCAAACAGTAAATCACATTGTAAAAGTACAGCATCTATATGTAGAGGTGTAGAAGAAAGTAGAAAAAACAATATAAATTCAAGTAAATAATCTCAAATTTGTTCTGGTACCAATTTTAAGTGTAATAGTACAGATAGTACAGCACATTTGAATACACTGAAACCACTATTTTTTACTGCTACAATATTAAATGATAAATATTTTAAATTAAAAAACACATGAAAAAGTACAGGTATGTTAAAATCACAATCATCCCAAAACTATTTTCAAAATTAATTCCTTTTTTATTGTTGAAAATGGCAGCAGTGCATGTATTATTTCCTTTTCTCATATGGTTAATGTCAAGAATTTAAAAATAATTTTTTGATGTCAGAAAAATCTGTACATGGGAATAATGACTCTATAACTCAGCTGAATAGTACTGTTGTATTAGTAGTAAACTTGTTTCATCTTTTTATCTTTTTAACGGAGGGATCCAAAAGAAGACATACTGTACTTAAAATTACATAACCATTAACAAATACAGCTGCATAGTTATTTTAACTTAGTCATTTTGGCAAAATCATTCAACAGTTCATGCACAAAAGGTGTACCTAGAGACTTAAAAAAAACAACCTTAAAATCCTACTTCTAAACCATGGATTAAGCGAGTGTAGTCAAGGGGTGTTATGGTCTATAAGTTCATAAAGACGGAATGATGTCACCAACATGACCAAGGATATCAATGTAAAGGGCATAAAAGTTTATAAAAACAGGTCAAGGCACTGTGCATCTGAGGCAGTGCTGTGCTCTAAGAATAAGACCCATCGATGTGACAATAACTCACTCTTGATAGCAGAGTGCAGAAGATTAAACTAGAGCATCTGAGCCACTATTTAAGTCACTGCAGTTTCACCTGACATATCAGTGAAACCTATATTTTGACAGTTGTAATTAACAGTTAATGAAAAACCTATTTGTTGTTAACTTTGTCAGATAATAGTCCATGCAATCCATTTTTTTCCATCCAGGGTTTATGGTCCGAGAGAGAAGAGGAAAGTCACTTTTCATTTCTGTCAGATTTCTCTTTTTTTTTACCCATCCCTTGGTTGATGTGTTGTAGCCACTCCTTCAACATCTGAAAGCTTGGTCGAGAAGCAGGATCCAGGTTCCAGCACTGTTTCATGATGTTATACACCACTTCAGGACAGCCATCTGGACAGTCCATTTTGTATCCCTTCTCCACTCGAGGCACTACGTCTTTTAATGGCTACAGAAAAGAGTCAAGTTGTCGGTACGAAGTGTTTGACACAGTGACAGTGGAAAATAGACAACGAAACCTATATTCTGTCTGTTGAAATCTTAAAATGCAACAATACTTTAAAGAACAGAATATACAAAAATTTTACTCTTCAGTTCAGCCTCTTCTGTCTTTATTTTTTTATTCACTGAAACCTGTTGTCTTTAAAAACAAAAACCTGTTAAGACTACAGACATAAAAGACATTTGTGTCTTATTTAAAAGCCTCAAAGCCATATCACCTTTATGCCCATAAGCATAATAAAATAATACATCCTCAAGAAGCAGTGTTATAGGAAATAGTCTCGTGTGTAAACGCATTGCTAACTGATCATTCACTCTTAATTCCTCCCTAATATTTTCTGTATGCCTCTTTCCAGAAAGATATTGATACTTACAATTCTTGGGTAAGGTACTCGGCCAAAAGAGAAAATCTCCCAAAGCAAAATACCGTAGCTCCAAACGTCTGATTTGGTGGAAAATTTCTGTCAATGAAAACAAAAACATACATTTCAGTGTTATCTTTTTTCCACTGTGTAGGTACACATGGCAAAGCGCACAACTCCACAACCCTGTACCTTTTCTCTGAGGGCCTCTGGTGATGTCCACTTCACAGGTAGCTTAGCAGTATCCTGAGTAGAAGTGGCCTCCTTGGTCAGACCAAAGTCACTGACTTTGGCAATGTTGTCGTCTGACACAAGAACGTTTCGGGCTGCTAAGTCTCGGTGGACAAAATTATTGGCCTCCAGATACGCCATGGCTTCACAGACGTCTCTGTGCAAGTACAGAAAATAAAAGTTCAAAACTTGAAAGATGTCTCCTTGGGCTTAAGTATGTGCTGAAGAATCTGAAAAGCACATTGTGGAGTTTTCTTGCAGACATAATTGTTAAAATATTGCTGTGAAACATTGCTTCCTTTTATGCTGCATTATCATCGTCACCAACTGCTGAGGTACATAATTGTCTCAAACTGAGAGACAACATTCAGCTGTTCTTGTCCTTTTCATTTGGAAATAATGGCCTGTTTTGAGGTAGACCTACATGCATGTCTAATTCGCAAACATCTTAAAGCAAAAGTAAATCTAGTTTTCAGCCCGAGTATGATGTTTCCAAAGCCTCAGCAACTTCATAGCATAATTAATAAATAATAAAAATATCTACATATGGAAAAAAGATAATAAAGCATTAGGTAGCTGCATGTCCAAACATAAACGTAAGACATTGGACTGCAATCATTTTGTTGCAATATTGTGTTGCAATAAACACCCACTTACTACATTTGCATTTTCATCTTCTACAGCTGATAGAGCATTAGCTCACCCCCATGCTTTTGTGCATGCTGGTAGAACAAAAAATACAAGCAAACCTGTGACCTCAAAATGCAACTAATAGTCAAAAACTCTACAGTCACCCTTTGCTACAGTATAATTACTTGATGGTACACAATTGCAGAAATACGCACAGTGCAAAATTAAGGAGCGCATCTCCGCCAAGTACTGTCCGGCCTCTTGAACGTAAGTAGTCGACCAAACAGCCCTGAAAAAGACAAACAAACACATGACTACTTCTTTACTTTATTCTGAAGTTGACAAGTGATCAGACAGACGGAGCCACCTACCTTTGCCATGTACTCAGTCACTATATACAGACTCCCATTCTCTTCTACTATCACCCCGAGCAGCTGCACCAGGTTATTGTGATGTAGTTGCCTGAGTAAGGAGAGGCGCATAGAGATGTGTTATTTTGGGTTTGAGTTTCTAAAAAAACAAACAAACAAAAAAAAAAACTAAACATTTAAGGTTCCTTACGTCATGACAGAAGCCTCTGCAATAAAGGCCTGGGCTGTAGCATCATTTTTTATGCACTTCACAGCTACTTTAGTACCTCTGTAGTCTCCCACCTTGACATCTGGAATGATCAGAGATGGTAATGCATTAAAACTATTTGGGAAATTGCATTTGTCTGACCCTGAGAAGAAAAAATAGATATAAATCTAGCAGGCAAACTTGTGAAATGTTCACAACAGGACCTGTTAAATGTTACAGCGTAAACTTCAGCCAAAGTTTAAATGTGAACTTGCCTCCAAACTCTCCTTTTCCAATAACCTGCTGTAGCTTGAGCTCCTTTCTGCTCAACGACCAGCCGCCTGTTGGCCATTTAAAGAGGAAACGGCATGTAGGTGAAGTGTAACAGGATCATACATGCGTCTCATAAACATAAAGGCTACAATGTCATAGTAGCATGAAATATACAGTACAAGTCTGAAACTGAGCCTTACTCCTGGAAAACTCATCCTGAGCGGCCACTGTGCCTTCCTCTATCTTTGGCTTGATTAGTTTGGTGCACAGGCCGTCTGCATCTTTGGTGTAGTGCTGAAAAACAAAGAAAGAGACAAATTAAAAATAACCAGGAGAAACAAAGAGGTGCTTTTCTCCACAACAATTCAAATAAGAACTCTCTCTGGACATCTCTTAGGACCTCGGAAATGATATAGCGTGGCTAGTCCCCCCCCCCCAACTTTGTATTCTTAATTTATGCACTTGTCTTTTCTGCTTGTTCTTTTGTACTGATGTTATTTCAGCACTAACAGGGCTTCAAATAAAATACATGACACAAAAGCCTCCACCATTAGCAGTGTCTGGGCAAATGACAAGAAATAATGGCCATGTGACAAGATTTTCCCTTACGTAGGTCATACTGTACTTATACACACCTAGTTTTCTCAGTAGAACAAGTAGTATTCAGCTGTTCAAAATGAGCAATTCACACAGGAAAAGCAGTCACTCTGAGAGTAAAAGGCCTGGTGTCTTTTTTGAGGTTAGAGCTCTGAACTACTGTAGGCTGTTCACTCTTCCTCTTTGACACTTCCTGTTCATTATTTGTTCCAGGAACTCTATGCAGTATGCGATAGAGACAGAAAGACAGACTCTACCACAAGAAAATACTTACAGCAGAGAAACATTCAATATAGCAGCGCAGCTAAGAGTAGAAACAACTATTTATGAAACAAAATCTATTTTTATGTCTTACCTCAACCAGCTGCATGAGGTTCTCAAAATACTCCTCTTCATCGATAGTGAGTTTGCCATCATGGTAGATGATGCGGTAGTGCTCCACCTTGCCATCGCAGCTCACACACAGGGTGTAGTCGCCCGGGAAGTTGGTGCTCTCTCGCACTAAGAACAGGCCTGTTTCAGGAGGGTGAAGCAACTGCTCTGCCCAGTCCCGTGTTATTTTCCCATGGAACCATCTGGGTGTGAAAAGACAGAGAGGCATCATGAGAAAGTTGAACAAGAATCCTTATAATGACCCAAATATACAGACTGTAGAGACCAAATGCTTGAAACCTACTGGATCATTTCTGCTGATTTTCTTTGTATCAGTCATTAGAGTATATTACACATAACATTAAATTTCCTTCCTCCTGTTTTACCCATTTCTACACCTATTTTTAGTCATTTCTAAAGCATGGCTTGATTTTATCTCAGCTTTAAGTTTTAAACCATATGCTTAACAACTTGGATAATTCAGGCTTTTTAAAAGTCTTTAATATGGTTAGTCACTTATTATTTTTACAGAGACTGTCCACTGTATGTGGGATGTCTGCGGCTGTTTCAGGAGACATTCGATAAACAGATACTGTTTCCAATCAGAGGTACAGATTACTGCATTTTGGATATCCACTGTGACCAGTTTTATTTTTCAGAGGGTCACAGAAAGTACAGTAAATTTATTTGCATCAGTCTAAACATCCCCCAGAAAACACCAAAAAGCTGAGACAAAGGCTTATTTTCCTCCACCAAAATAGAAGCAGCTTCCCTCTGAGTTGTAGGAAATGGACTGCTGAAGCAGTTTTCTTTTTCAGGTCTCTATCACAAAGCACAATTTTATAAATACAAAGCAGTCTCCACTCCGAGGCCCCCAGATCCTCTTAGATTTAATTACTGGTGGGCTTTACAATTTTGAGAACTGCATTTACTTGGTGTTCCTTGATGTGTATTTGTTTGTACATTACTTTTCAGTGCACTTGTAAACAAGATTTTGCTGTTCAAGAGAAGGGATGCTCGGTCACATAAGAGATAGGTCTGTGAACATGCACACTGATGATTCACAGGCAGTGCTGGGTAGATAAGGGGTAAAAGGAGCTCAACTAGGGCATTTTCAGTTTCATAACTATTTTTTGTCAAAGTGCACCATAAATATCATTCATACACATAAGTACATGTATGCAAATGGAAACCCATCAGAAACAAATGAGGAGATTTTTGAGATTATTTCAGTCTGACAGAAAAGAAACAACAGGAAACTGTGCAGAGCTCAGGGAAACACAGGAGTGCACTGCAATTACGATACAGTCTGACCCAGCTGTGGTCTCCATTCAAATAACTACAGCGTCACTGCCATGACAAACAGGCCATCTGCCTTCAGCAACCACACAGCCATAGGGCACAGCTGAGCTATTTTAGCAATTTTAGTCAATCGCCGCAGACACCACACAAAGCTAGTGGTGGCTGCCTTTCAAATATCGACAGTATATACTGTAACCAAACCTAACATTATTACATTGAACATCAGAACTTAATAAACCACCATAATCTTTGTACTCACGGCATTAGACTTAGCTTGCCTCCACTTTTCACACCTTCCCTTTTCTGAACATAGTTGGCTGGAATTGTTCCCTCACGACCAGCAGCATTTTTAGCTTTGTACCAGTTTGGATCCTGAAACACAAAATGTCAGAAATGGCGAAAATGAATAAATATGAATGAGGAGTAAGTAATATAACAGTCAACTCATTTAATGTCTGGTCACACTGATGAGAACTCAAAAAGCAAAACTGAATCGTTACAGGAAGACAGACTAGGCCAGAAATGTAGCATATGAAACATTACCTTTGTGACAACAATGATAGTCAACACATCGCCTCTGTTAAAGGGCAGGTCCTGCTCTGATGTGCCTTTGAAGTTGTACCTGGCTACACACTCTGTGCCCTGTGGCCACGGAGTCGGAGTCTGCAGGAAGATCGCTAATTAGTAAGCAAATTCAATTTCCATCTGTGTATCTGACATTTGACACATACTGTATGCTGCGTTAGCACTATCAGAATCTAATGAGCGGTATACCCCATAATTCCCTTAACATCACTGAGCATAGCTGATGCAGACGAGCCTGCTTTGTATTTCCATTGTATTTTCTCACTGTTTAGAGGAGGGAGGGGCTGCTCCTCCAGTCAGATGTGTCTACTTTGCACACTGTGCTTGTAATGCTAATGCTAGAGCTGTGAAGTGTGAAGATGCAGACATTTAACCAATCACTGGCAACTGTTCTGTATGCACGCAGCCCCTCCTCCCTCATGTTCCTGGTACTTGATTTTAGTACTACTTCCTAAGCGGTGCTGAAATTTAGCTCCCGGAATGCACCTCTAAAGCAGGTGCACTGTAGTGGAAACAAACGCAGAACCCGTGACAAGTGTTGCTTGGCACAACACGTTTCGGTAGATTCCTATAGTGGAAAAACCCCTATACAGTACCAATGTTTGTACTCTAGAGGCCTGTCTTACCTGGACCTCTGTCATGGTGAGCTGGTTAAATCCTCTCACAGCTGAGGTTTTCTAGCTGCTATCATTAGAGCTAGTAAACACACACACACATACAGTACCTAAGAAGAGAAACAAAGTTGAATTAGTATGACACCCCTGCTTCTAAGGTAGCCACAATCAAATTGTCAGCAAGACAGTGAATCTGTGGTTTTGCCGTGCAGGACTGCATGGTAATTCATAGCGAACTCCATCAGTAAAAATAACTTGTTCATACAGAAAGCAGAAGTGACAACCTTTTTTAAACTCACACTTTCACAACTGTAGCAAAATGTTTCCATGACACAGTAGCATAGTACTGTATGTCCATAAAGACAGACTTTTAGTAGGTGGATGGGCCAAAAACGCAAATTAAAAAGTCAACGAATGAAAAAATAAAACTTTATATTTCAAATAACAACCCTGTCCATTTTAGGTCTGGTTCTCAGGAGGGGCCCCGGTGACTGATCCTTGTAAGAATCATGACAGCGCTCTTCAATGCTGGAATGCAAACTTGTAGTGAGATCTGACCGCCCCGAGGGACTCATCCAGCCCCGAGTTTCTTTACATCAATAAACCAGCCATTGTGGCAGTAACCTTAGGCTTGAGTCCCCAAGGCAGTGTTTCTATGATACATACACAACATGTCAGAACTGAGGTGTTACACACAGTGAAATGATGACCTATGGATAAAGTGGTACTCAACCCCCCCTCCCCCCTCCCAGACCTCACTTCCTGTATCAGTTCCCATGAAGAGGCGACTGGACTCAATGGTCAGGGAAAGTCCTGGCTCTGATAGATCTGCCCCTTTATATGAAGTCACATCCTTTGACATGGTCATTACTAATACAGTCACAGTACAAGAGATCAGATGTAACATAATCCAATAATAGGGTGGGGGTCTAAGAAACATGAGAGACAACACCTCTGCTAACTGTTCCTTTAAAAGTATGTTTCCTCCATTGAAAAACACACAGTAATCTGGTGTGTGCCACACATTTGAATGAATAACCAGCCCCTTCACAGGCACCAAACTAAAAACTCCCATGTGTCCCACAGAGGACTGTTATCACCCACTATGATAGGGATATGGCGGATGTCGTTCCCCGTGGAGTACTGCAGCTGTCTTCCTGTATCAAGGGACAAAACTATCTAGACACACTTCCCATGCCCATCAACCCAGAGAGAACATCCCCACTTTCCCTCTGCTAATCACAAACCACCTTTTCTATGTGCAAAAGGTCACAAGAAAACCAAAAATAAGAATCCACAGCCACACTAGCAGCTTTGTGAGACTAAAACAATCACTGCAGAGAAACTGTTAGATGGATACACCTAAATTTTGCCTTATGTCATGTTCATATCATGTGTGATGGATGGCGGAGATGGGAAA